AATCTTTCTCCTCTCGCCTTAAACCGATGCCTTCTAGTTTTGGACTCCTCCTCCTCCTCCTCCCTCCCCCCCACCCCGATCCTGGGGAAAAGACCTTGTCTATTTATCCTATCCATGCCCCTCATGATTTTATAAACTTCTGTTAGGTCACCCCTCAGTCTCCACCGCTCCATGGAAAAAAGTCCCAGCCTATTCAGTCTCTCCCTGTAGTTCAAACCCTCAACCCTGGCAACATTCCTGTAAATCTTTTCTACACCCTTTCAAGTTTCACAACATCCTTCCTATAGCTGGGAGACCAGAACTGAATGCAGTATTCCAAAAGTGGCCTAACCATTATCCTATACAGCTACAACATGGCCTCCCAACTCCTACGCTCAATGCACTGACCAATAAAGGCAAACATACCAAACGCCTTCTTCACTACCCTGTCTACTTGCAACTCCACTTTGAAGGAACTATAAACCTGCACTCCAAGGTCTCTTTGTTTGGTAACAGTCCCCAACATCTTGCCATTAAATAGATACATCCTGCACTGATTTGCCTTTCCAAAATGCAGCACCTCTCATTTATCTAAATTAAGCTCCATCTGCCACTCCTTACCCATTGACCCATCTGATCAATGTCCTCTTGTACTCTGAGGTAACCTTCTTTGCTGTCCACTACACCATCAATTTTGGTGCCATCTGCAAACTTACTAACCACACCTCCTATATTCTCATCCAAATCATTTATATAAATGACTAGAAGCAATGGACCCAACACCGATCCTTGTGGCTCACCGCTGATAACAGGACTCCAGACCAAAAAGAAACCCTCCACTCTTTTGTGATTCTGAATTTTTTAGTTTAACATTCTTTTCAAAACCTCATTTTGGACATTAAAAACTTTCCAGTGCTGTGCAAAAATATCAGCCAAGTTAGATTTCAGGATGCATAAGCTGTGAGACATCAGTGACCAGTATGATGCATGTTCATTATATAACAGTGACTCTAGATCATACTGGCTTGACCCAATTGACATTGAAAAGTTCTGTCACAGCGGCACCTATTGGTATGACAGGTATTGCAGATATTTATAATGAGTTTTCAGTGAAGTATGGTCCCACGTATGAAAGTAATTTTATGATAGAAATTTTACACTAAAAGCAATGGCAATTTGGGAGACAGAGACATAATGTTGAAAAAGTTGGTTGTTCTAGTATCAATTATAGGAAATATTAGAACTTATTATGAAGGAAATCTTAACAACAGGCTTAGAAAAGCATGGTATGATCAGAGTAAATACACTTTTACAAAAGGGAAATCATGGTTGTTTTGTCAATGTAACAAGAGGATAAAGGGGAAAGCAGGAGTTATGATATACTTGGATATCCAAAAGGCGTTTGAAAAGGTGCAACACAAAAGGTGAATACGAAAGATATGGTCTCATGGATTTGGGACAATATATTAGCATGAATGGAGGATTCACTAACTCAGGAAGAAGAAATTAAGGATAAATGTGGTATTTACAAATTGAAACGATGTGACTAATGGAGTGTCACAAAGATTAGTGCTGGGGCCTCAGCTATTTACAATTTACATGATGACTTAGATTGAAGCAACTGAGTATAATGTATCCTCGTTTGCTGGTGGTACAAAGCTAGATGGGAATGCAAAATATTAGGGCACAAAAAGTTGGCAAAGAGGTTAAAAAACAAGACATTTAATGTAAGGAAATGTCAGGGAATTCAATTCAGTAATAAAGAAAGAAGACCAGAATAGTTTTCTAAAAAGTGTGAAAATTTTAATTTTTTTTATTGAAGGAGAGTTGTAATACAAGAAAATCTTGCCACAGTTGTATAGTGCTTTGGTAAGATCACGCAACTGTGGGTGGCTTTGACCTCTATTTGTAAGGAAGGATGGATTTCCTTCAGAAAAGCTACAGCGAAGGTTCACCAGTTCGGCTCTAGGGATGAGAAGGTTTTTCTATGACGAAACAGTGAGTGATTAGAAGAACGGGAGGCGAAATCACCGAAAAATACAAGAGGCTGGGGCAGAATAGACACTGGGAGATCACTGAGATGGAAATCTATCACACAGGGGTGCAGTCTCTGGATAACTGGGTCAATAATTTAACACTGAGGTGAGAAGGAGAAATTTCTTTAAGTAGAGGATTGGGAATCTTTGGAATTCTTACCCCATAGGCTTGCAGATGCTTCCTCATTGAACATATTCCAGGAGGGAGAAGCAGATATTCTATCTCTGAGAATCTAGGAAAGTGCAATTAAGACAGAAAACCAATTATGATTGCATTGAATGGAGGAGATGGCTCAAAAAGCCAAATGGTTGACTCCTGCTCTATTTTATTTCATTCTCATCGAGGTTTGTCTGCTGTACAGACTGAGTATGTGAGATGCAAAACTGTGTAGTGTGTATCCCAGTGTAGCATATTTACATATTGGCAGTTCCTGTTCTGAAACTAAAGATTTGTGTTTTTAATATAAGCAGTTTTCACAAAACTGTGACAGAAACAAGACAAAAATAAATAAGTTTAGTACAAGATGTTGATGCAGATAGGAAGGTTTTGAATATTTTGTGTGTTTTAAATTGACTCTAAAAATATATTGAAAATGCTTTTCCCTGCACTTAGGTTTAATTGTTGATTACTAAATGTCTTACTCTTGGGAATTTTCACTAACAACACATGCCTTTGCCACTGTAAATACGATGGTACATTAGCCGAGGATGGGGGCTTGACCAAGCTAAAAAGTGTTTGACGATCGTTTATATACTTTATGAATCGAATCAGTGGGTCAGCATTGAAAAGATAAAGGAGAGTAAATAGCACCCTTGTGCTATGTAGTATACATTTCAGACCAATTTTCAGAAGTTCTGTATTCTAGCATTTATGACCAGAATAAAATATTTAAAAACACTAATAGATGAATTTGCTGTATTTCAAATTCAAGTCTGGTTTGAGCTAAGGAAGATAAAGATGGTTCTGGCTGCGTGGAACATATGCAGGACAACCTGTTTAAGGCACATAGCTGCAGTGTGAATGTATTTTCACAGACGCAGTCTGGCATTATTTGATATTCACAATTAGTATCTCCTGAAGAGAGGTAAACTTTTACCAACTGTGGAAGGGTAAGATGGATAATGTTCTCAAAGCACTCAGTGGTCTTTTGCTGCTGATATTCTATGACTGTGGCATGAGTAACATTCAAGGAGATTTACTGGGAGGTAAAGTTATTCAAATAGATACCATTTTGTTCTCAAAGAAGGGCACAGACTACGTTGAGACACTGAAGCTTGTGTACTTATGAAGTAAGCAGCACAGTGATTCAGTGGTTAGCGCTGGTGCTTCACAGTGCCACAGACCCAGGTTTGATTCCACCCTTGGGTTATTGTCTGTGTGGATATTCTCCCTGTGTCTGCATGGGCTTCCTCTGGGTGCTTTGGTTTCCTCCCACAGTCCAAAGATGTGCAAGTTAGGTGGATTGGCCATGGGAAATTGCCCATAATGTGCAAGCTAGGTGTATTAGCAATGGGAAATGTAATGTTCCAGGGATAGGTTAAGAATCATAGAATCCCTACAGTGTGGAAACAGGCCCTTCGGCCCAACAAGTCCACACCGACCCTTGGAGAATCCCACCCAGACCCATCCTCCTATAACCCACACACCCTGAATACTACGGGCAATTTAGCATGGCCAATCCACCTAGCCTGCACATCTTTGGACTGTGGGAGGAAACTGGAGCACCCAGAGGAAACTGGAGCACCCAGAGGAAACCCACGCAGACACGGGGAGATGTGCAAACTCTGCACAGACAGTCGCCCAAGGCTGGAATTGAACCCAGGTCCCTGGCATTGTGAGGCTACAGTGCTAACCACTGAGCCATTGTGCTGCCCTGGTTCTGGTCTGGTTCTGGGTGGGATGCTCTTCAGAGGGTCAGTGTGGACTCAATGGACAAAATGGCCTGCTTCCACACTGTAGGGATTCTATGATAAGCACATTTTGCCTTCCACTTGGTCAATGGAAAACCCATTGTGGTCATGTCTTGTCATGACCCACCAGGTCTGGCAAAATCTTTTTCGAAATCATGCCTTCACATGTTATGGTTAGTGCTGGTAATGCCAGCATTTACTGTCCATCCCAATTTGCCCACACATTGAAAAGGTGGTGGGTAGCCATCTTCTCAAATACAAATGATTACTTTGCCTAGCCATTTCACAAGGTAGTTAAAAGTCAATTATGTTGTTGTCAGGTGCAATCCAGACTAAGTTAGGATACCATATTTCCTTACCTCATAATCATTAGTGAAAAATCTTTGCAACAATCCAGTAGTTTCTGGGTCACCACCTTAGATTTATTTATTAATTGAGCTTCTCAGCTGCCATGGCTGGATCTGACTTCATGTCTCTGCATAACTAGTCCAGCAACACAACCACAATGCCACCATGAATTTGGCAAAGTATAGGCACAGCCAAAGTAGACCAAGACACAAAAGAGATGGAATAAGGAGAATAACAGATCAACTTAGAGAAAGAGAGAGGGATGTTAAACTGAAATTAAACTACCAATGAAGGAGGGAAAACAGACAGAGCAGACAGAGCATGTTGTGTAAGATGGTTCTGTAGGCATTAATATTCATGTTACGTTGGCTCCACCTATTCAACTGATGCCACACAGTCTGAGATTGAGGAGAGAAGGAGTTCTAACTTTCAGAGGGAGCAGATGGATCTGTACTGACTCCCTAAGGTCTTGTAATTGTGCCTGACCAAATGTAGTTGTACTTACTACTGTCCTGCAATGAACCCTCTTGTTACCTGAGAACCGTCCTCTTCTGACGATACTGTATGGTGGTGTATCCTCAACCACCAATCACCAGATAGGCCTAAGACATTAATAACATAAACATGACAAAATAAACCTGGGTAATGACTAACGGACTTGTAATAAAATCAGACTCTCAACTCACACGGGCATAATATCATATGAAATATGGCTCTGTTTTACAGATAAAGGGCCTCAAGATGATGGGGAAGATGACAGGAAACTGTAACCAAACAACAAAGGTATTACGATTTGTGGTACATGTAAAAGTGATCGGCAATGGCTCATAAAAACTGTAATCGGATTAGAAGCAGATTTCGGGGGGTAGGGGCAGGTGGTGGCAGTGATATGCCACATTCAACAAGGCAATTGTATTCAACCAAGACAAATGAAGTGAAGCCAAGGATTGGTGGCAAGGATTTACCCCAAACACCCAATTCCTCACATTGGTAGAGAGGGCAAATACCGCAAGAGTTACCTGAGAAACTACCACAAAATGGAGAACAAAAGAAAATGACAGAAAAGTAACTAAAGATACAAAGGGTTTTAGATTTAGAACTGGAAGGCGAGATAGATAAGCTACATAGTTCATGATAGCCACTCTCTCCCTATTTATTTCAAAACCCCCTTCCCCTCCCCCTTTTCTGATGAAGGGTCTAGGCCCGAAACGTCAGCCTCTCTGCTCCTATGATGCTGCTTGGCCTGCTGTGTTCATCCAGCCCTGCACCTTGTTGTCTCGGATTCTCCAGCATCTGCAGTTCCTACTATCTCTAGTTCATGATAGGGCCGTACAATAAATAATGTTTGTCTGCTAGTTCACTGTGAGAGTTGGATTTTAAAGATGAAGTTTGCCATTCTTTGAAGGAATGACTGGCGAGACACAGGAGTGTTGCTTCTATCCATAATATAAAGCTTGCTGCATCTATCCGAGTTTGTACAGTGATCAATTATTAGCAGCAATGCTTCACAGAATGCTTCTCCAGCTGTGGAATGTACTGCCTTATCTACACACATTCAAATACTGAGTTATCCATCACAGACTGAACCAGATCCATCGGAGCATACATTAGACGATGGAAGAGCTGCTGCTTGCCAATGGCAGCCCAGAACAAACTGTTCAGGTCTCGTGCTCTCAACTAATCAATGTCAAATTCTTAAGTGTAAGGATGTGACAGTTAGCAGCAATTGAACTCTGTTGTGTTGCCAAGCAACTCAGTGATCGCAGAAGGTACTTACCAGTTTTAGCACTGCAGTGATTAATAACTTTATGAAATTTGGGGTTCTGCTTTGTGGCTTTTTTTGGAGGATAAGGGTTGGTGCCTGTTGCAAAACTGTTTTTAATGTTACTCCCAGAGCTTTGAGATATACATCATTCTATACATCCATCTCCCCATTTTAAACATCAAATCTGTCCTGTGCCACCAGACATTACAAACTTGTCCAGGGTGAAAGCTAAATATTATGTAACAGATGATTTATATACAAGTACTGCACAGATTATAAAAGAGGGATTCTTTATTCCACTGGCAACAAATCTCTATAAACGTTAATGAGAACACATAGCTTTGAGGTTTGAATTATTTACAAAGGATATTGGTCTAATGGTGCAGATCCATCAGGATATTGCTGTTGAGCTTAACTCCCAATCTCTAATCAGCCAGGTAATGGGAACTCCTACGATCAACTTCCTGTGACATGTAACACCAATTACCTGCTCTCCCAGATATAAAGGAGATCTCTATCTCCTCATGGTCTCTCAGATTCGTTGAATCATAGAATATCTACAGTGTGGAAACAGGCCCTTCAGTCCAACAACTACACACCGACCCTCAGAGCATCCCACCCAGACCTCCCCCCGCTATAACCCACCTAATCGACACCCTGAACACTATGGGCAATTTAGCACGGTCAATCCACCTACCCTGCACATCTTTGGACTGTGGGAGGAAACCTACGCAGATACAGGGAGAATGTGCAAACTCCACACAGACAGTCACCCAAGGGTGGAATCAAACCTGGGTCCCTGGCACTGTGAGGCAGCAGTGCTAACCACTGAGCCACCATGCTGCCCACAAAGGGGCTTTGCCCAGATGGCCCACCCAGGTCTCCTGCAGATGTTAGCTCACTCCACTCCCAGCTTTCTCTCCACTGTCAGTGAACATGGTCTGCATTATTCACGGCTCTGGTCTTCAATTTGGACCCACTGCTCCAACACCAGGCCGCTGCCCACCTCTGTCCATGAGGTTCTCCAGCTCAGTGGTGCTGGTTACATATCCAGCAGTTGCATGTCTGCTCCAATTCCCCTTGCTGGCTCTCTGGCCACCAATCTTTCTACTCACAAATCTTGGCTCTCTGCTCCTTCTTGTGTTGTCTCCTCTTCTTGGTCTCTATCTCCACCTCTCCCAGTTTGGCAAAGACATAACTTACTTCAGGGGGGGAATGGAAGAAATGGTGTGCTCTCCCCTACTATTGCTATCTATTGTTGGAGGCCCGCTATAATTAGGAAACTTAATGCTGCAATTCCTTTTATTATCACTGATACAAGTCTATAGATATCTTCTGAAGATCTGAATTATACTAGATAATTATCTTGATAAATATCAACTGTTGGAGAGCACTACTACATATATCCTTCACAATTAAAAAACTACCACTTACCACTAACCAGTTTTGCATTCATGACTCTACATTTCAGAATTTCTAAGTCAGGGTAGCTTTTAATGCCAGATTATATTGAATTCCAGCTTTATCATTTGGGATAGTGGGAATTGAACCCCACAATATTAGCCTGGGGCTTTGGATTACTAGGGCAGTAACATTACGGGGGAGGTGATGGCCTAGTGGCATTATCGCTAGACTGTTAATCCAGAGACCCAGACAATATTCTGGGGACCCGGGTCTGAATCCCGCCATGGCAGATGGTGGAATTTGAACTCCATAAATATCTGGAATTATGAGTCTAACGATGACCGTGAATCCATTGTCGATTGTTGGAAAAACCCACCTGGTTCACTAATGTCCTTTAGGGAAGGAAACTGTTATCCTTACCTGGTCTGGCCTACACGTGACTCCAGACCCACAGCAACGCGACTCTGAACTGCCCTCTGGACAATCAGGGACGGGCAATAAATGCTGCCTAGCCAGCGACGCCCACATCCCGTGGATGAATAAACAAAAAAAATTACCTCAAAAACCACCATCTCCCCACATTGTGGAGATGCAAATCTTAAACAGGTCCCTCCAAAATTACCCGGAATTTGAAGACTTTCTCTGAAACAATTACTCCAGCCAGGTGTTAATCTACTTTACTTCACTGTCCCTATATTCACTCGTGTATGGCATTGGGAGTAATCCGGAGCATCTAACCTTTTAGGTCCCTCCCTAAGTGCTGATGTTCTGAGAGCAGGGACACAGTCTTTTCCTTTCCTATGTCACTATTTCCCACCAGGATCATAAGTTTTTGCTCCTCTTCATCCCCCTCTTAAAATGGTCAGTATCTTCTTAGTATTGTAATTTACCCTAGCACCAGCGAGGTAACACTCTATGCAAGACTCACATTGGCATTTTCAGAAAACCCATTTTGTACAATTAACCACTACATTTTGACACTTTTCTGTGCCCTCCCCTTCCCAAGCCCTATGGCCACTTATTTGGCCCACAGGGCTGTGGATCTGCTCTGGGCCTGGCCTGGCTTACCCCACCCAATTTCCACCCAAGGATTATTGCTCTGCCCATCTCTCCATACGCTGCCAACAGCCACCCACCCGCTCACTCTACTCCTGTAGCCATGGGTGAACTACCTCCTGAAATGTGGAAACCCTCAACCTCCTCTAGGCCCCTTTATGGACTCAGTTACAGCTGAAACGCTGAACTCTTTAAACCCTGAGCTCAAGTCAAACATCAAGCAAAACTTACTGCAGGCATCATTATCTGGGACTCATTAAGCTTTCTAGAGTTTCCACAATGTTCAGGGATCATAGGTAATATAACCTCATCCACTCCATCGTTTTACTTAAATGTCTGTCTACTTTAAATAAAGTTACAGATGTTATATTGTGTATTTTAAGGCAATATTCCCATACTCCCATTTATTCTTTAATTCTTTATACATGTCAGATTTAGAGCACTTTGGTTTCTTTAACATTGATATCCCTTATTTAATTAAATGTAATTTTATCATTTTAGACCTTCTAGTATTTGTATGATAATGTTTCCCTTGCTTTAAAGCACTTAGCACCTACCCCCACAACACTGTCAGTCTGTACAGTCAACCGTTCTCTTAGTTGATAACCCCAGCTCTACCCGTTTAATGGACATGCCTTGTAAAAAGACAATACAAAAATCATAACTAGGCTGTTTGGTTGTGTTACAACAGACCTCTATGATTGCCACATTCTGAAATAGGATTTGAATGCAGATGATCTAACCCACAGGATGGGAACGTAACTATTTTATCGCAAGTCCCTTCAGATTCAACCTCACCTTAAATAAGCAACTTGAACAAAATTAGTAAAAACAGTCCCTAAGAAGCACTGTGATGAAAATCAAAATTTCCAAGGAAACATACTAGATTTAAACTATAATATAGTCTTGGGAGATGATGATGGACCCCATCAGGTGAAGAAGAACCTAGGGGTATATGAGAACAGATCATTAAAGGTGTCTGGACTGGTGGAAAGAGCAGTTAGAAAAGCATAGTGTTCTTGGCTTCATTGATAGAGTTCAAGAGCAGGGAGGTGATGTTGAATTGTACATGACACCTGTTAGACCTCAGCTGGAGTAGCGTGTATAGCCACAGATGCAACAGTATAGGAAATATGTGAATGCATTGGAGAGAGTGCAGAAGTGACTTACAAGAATGGTTCCGGGAATCAGAAAAAGGGTGTAGATTTATAGTGATGTGCAAAGTAAGAGTAACGTGCAAAAAAAAACTTTTCCGCACAACGGTTAGGGTCTGGAATACATTGCCTGGAAATATGATTGAGGCAGGTTCAATTAAGGCATTCAAGAGGGCAGTTGATGATTATTTGGATAGTAATAGTGTGCCGGGATATAGGAAAAAGGCAGGATATTGGCACTTGGAGAATAGAATCAGTATAGGCAGGGAAGGCCAAATGGTCTACTTCTAGACTATAATGATTCTATGATTTTTGTACTAGCCTGATGCTGCATTGCAGTATAATGAGGAAGTATTGCTCTCTCAGAGGTACTGCCTTTCAAGTGAGGCATTAAACAGAGACCA